CACTATACACTACACTATACACTACACTATACACTACACTACACACTACACTATACACTACACCATACACTACACTATACACCACACTACACTATACACTACACACTACACTACACTAGACACTACACTATACACTAGTGCTGTACTAAATCACGAGTTGGCACGTTTTGTTCACATGACAAACCCTCTTACTAATTGGCTGTGTCGGGTGGTGTCGGTTTTAACGACACAACATTTATATTCACGCGATGCAACGCCAGAAAAAACCCCTCTAATTATGGATCCTCAATCTGAATAAAAACCTCTAACGACAAAAACTAAATCTAAAATCGATTAATTAATTTCATGGTGACCTCCTTTGCCAGGACCAAAAATATGAGAACAGGTTTTCCCCTTTTTTTCTGGCAACAAAACAGCTGCGTTAAGATGTTAAAACACCAAACTTAAACCTTTTACAAGGATTCATACTCTTTGGTTTAAAGCTTTCGTGACTGCAGGGATTTATATTCTTGGTTCTTTCGGTAAAGTCACCACCACGTAGAAGGGAAACAATAAAATAATAAAAATATAAAACAATAAAATTCTCACGACGTTTCGACTGCAACACAAGAAGCAATCATCATCAGGTGAGAATTTTATTGTTTTATATTTTTATTATTTTATTGTTTCCCTTCTACGTGGTGACTTTACCGAAAGAACCAAGAATAAGGATTCATACTATTTGTTTTTTTCGGTAAAGTGACGAAGGTAAAAAATTAAATAAAACAACTAAATTAAATCACGACGTTTCGGAGGCAACACAAGCTTCCTTCATCAGGTGTAAAAAAGGGGCACAGCAAAATAACTGTAGAGTCATTTTGCTGTGCCCCTTGTGATGTAATATAACGTTAGGTAGATGTAATCTTACCTCAGGCGAGGTAACTTTACCTCAAATGAGGTAACTTTACCTCAGGTGAGATAACTTTACCTCAGGTGAGGTAACTTTACCTCAGATAGAGATAACTTTACCTCAGGTAGAGGTAACATTACCTCAGGTGAGGTAACTTTACCTCAGGTGAGGTAACTTTATCTCAGGTTAGTTAACTTTACCTCAGGTGAGGTAACTTTACCTCAGATAGAGGTAACATTACCTCAGATAGAGGTAACTTAACCTCAGGTAGAGGTAACATTACCTCAGGTAGAGGTAACTATACCTCAGGTAGAGGTAACTTAACCTCAGGTAGAGGTAACATTACCTCAGATAGAGGTAACTTTACCTCAGGTGAGGTAACATTACCTCAGGTAGAGGTAACTTTACCTCAGGTAGAGGTAACTTTACCCCAGATAGAGGTAACTTTACCTCAGATAGAGGTAACATTACCCCAGGTAGAGGTAACTTTACCCCAGATAGAGGTAACTTTACCCCAGATAGAGGTAACTTTACCTCAGATAGAGGTAACTTTACCTCAGGTAGAGGTAACATTACCTCAGATAGAGGTAACTTTACCTCAGATAGAGGTAACTTTACCTCAGGTGAGGTAACTTTACCTCAGGTGAGGTAACTTTACCTCAGGTAGAGGTAACTTTACCTCAGATAGAGGTAACTTTACCTCAGATAGAGGTAACTTTACCCCAGATAGAGGTAACGTTGTGTCAAAGTAACCCTCACGTAGTGCAGGCCGCGTGCCACTGTAATCGTTAAACACAACGCTCGCGTGACGTCACCACCTCACTTCACGCGGCAGCCTCGAAGTGCACCCAGCCTGGCACAGGCGCCGTGGGGACGTCACCGTCACTGAGTGGCCAATGGCGGCGGTTGGTGGTGGTGAGTGGGGGGTGGGGGCATCGGGGGTGGGCGTGAGTGGGGGGTAACGGGGGAGTGGGGGGGGCGAGACGCGTGACGTCACCACGCAGTGACGTCATCAGAGTTTTTAAGTTAAAAAAATGTTTATTCTGGAGGAGGAATCCGATGAGCTGTGAAGCTCTTTATTATCCACAGACGTCCACAGTAGGGGCACGGGGTCAGAACTCCACAACAACAAACACAATACAACAAACACCATGGGAGTGCAGAGTATAGGAAAGGTAGGCACGTGACCAACACAAATCTGTAGGGGCGTGTGAATTGAAGTCTGTAGGGGCGCGTGAATTGAAGTCTGTTGGGGCGTGTGATTTGTAGTCTGTAGGGGCGTGTGAATTGTAGTCTGTAGGGGCGTGTGAATTGAAGTCTGTAGGGGCGTGTGAAGTGAAGTCTGTAGGACAGTGTGATGTGTAAGTTTGTTGGGTCATAGTTTTACCATCCTTGACGTGCAGGGATGACGACTAGGATTGGTGTTGTTAGGATCAGCGGCGAGCAGTTGTGACCAGGTGCTGCTGTGTATAACGATTACAGATGACAGTGAGGGGGAAAAAAGCATTTGATCCCCTGCTGATTTTGTACGTTTGCCCACTGACAAAAGAAATGATCAGTCTATAATTTTAACGGTTGGTTTATTTGAACAGCGAGAGACAGAATAACAACAAGAAAATCCAGAAAAACGCGAGTTTAAGAGCCGGGAGCCAACAACAACTTGGGGCTCGCAATGGCTACAGCGACTATTGTAATGGTCGATGCGGCCTCTGCGTTGAACAGCAGGAGACAACGGGTACAGTCTGGTTCCGCTACAACGCTGCGTGTTAGTTCTAACGACGCCAACTGGACGACGTAACGCCGTGAATGTATCGTAAGGGGATACACGCCGTCCGTAACGAGGACGCGGATTGGATGCGACGCGACCGAGCGAACGGAACTACGTCTCAACGCGAGTAGGAGTAAGCGGTTCTACGTGCGGCTGCCCCCGGCGTAGCGGCGTCGCAACGAGGAGGAGGCGTTGGGATGCTGCTGGATGCTTCTAGACGCTACCCACGCGCCTCGGTCTTAGTCCCGCCTCTGTCTTGCCCATCATCTCGCGTGTTATCGCGGACCACGCTTCACCCCCCCCCCCCCCCTATAGTTTATATTATTTCTCCACAACGCGGTTGTTCTTCAGGAACGCAACAACCACCGCCGCGTTGCAGGAGAACGACGGACCGTGAACGCGCTTCGACGATTCGCGGCAACGCGACGGCAACACAAAGCGCCACGCGCGGTCTCTCGCGACCGGCGGTATCTGCGACGAAGGTTTTTGTCGTCGTTGCCGCCGGGTTAGATGGCGTTGGATCACAATCCTGGCACGTCGCCCGATGAAGCCGGTCGCCGTTGTTTGTAATCGCCGGCGAAACGTCACCGGTACTCGAATTGTGAACGCTGTTGTGGGTTCACTCTCCCCGACACACAAGCGCCGTGTGTGCTGAAGTTGGTAACCAATTGGCACGTTTCGTTTACGTGACAAACCCTGACTGATTGGCCGTGTCAGGCGACGGTGGTGGGTGGTGGTGGGTTAACGACACAGTGTTTATGTTTACGAGATCTCTAACCCAACAACAACAAAGAACAAACCTCTGTCACGGAAAAGTGTCGCCACAGAGCAAGTCGCTCCCACCTCACAGAGCAAGTCGCTGGGACCTCCTGGAGACACTGACACAGGGCAAGTCGCTGGGACCTCCTGGAGACACTGACACAGAGCAAGTCGCTCCCACCTCCTGGAGACACCGGCACGGGCTGTGAGAGCTGGGCTGCCTTCACAACCAACGAGACGCCGGCGCTGCCAACTGGGACCAAGACGTCAGCACTGCCTCCACCGGTCTGGTGAGGTCATTCTCAACAGCAGGTTTTGTTTTTTAACTTCACTTTACTTTTCCAGGTAAGGCCCCCACTGAGCTGTGCGTAGTAGCGACCCGCCTATCACAAATGACGGCGGCGCACCGAAGTGGCTTGTCACGTGACATTTACAGCAGCCAAATACTCTGAACGCATGTTGAGATGTTAACCACCTCTCCTGGTATACAGGAGATCGTTGGTTCGATTCCGACCCTGACGCCTGCTGTATATTTTGAGTTTGCGCGTGTCTCTCTCTCTCTCCCCGTGGTCGTGTGGATTTTTCTCCAGGTCCTCCGGTTTTTCCCCTCGACATTTAGAATCGAGATCACGCAATCAGAGTATCTGGCCGCTATCAATGTCCACACAATGATGAGCCACTTCGCTGAGCTTTCATTTGTGATGGCCAGGTGGTAGCGTCTGATAAAAGAGCCTCTACATATTCTGTTGGACCTTACTTAGTAAAATCCCAAGATAATTTTTGTTAGTTTAAGTAAGTATATAATTTTAAACAGAATCACAAACTAACGCTCAACTTTCTTAACCGTGTAAGAGTCAACGCGCGCCACCACCGTGCGACGACACGCGAGCAACCGGGACGATGCAGAGAATCTCTCAACACTTTCCCACGTCCGAGACGTCTGCAGAGTTACAGGGTGGGTGTCACGGTTCACTGGGTGGGCGTCGCCGTTCACGGGGTGGGTGTCACCGTTCACGGGGTGGGCGTCGCCGTTCACGGGGTGGGCGTCGCCGTTCACGGGGTGGGCGTCGCCGTTCACGGGGTGGGCGTCGCCGTTCACTGGGTGGGCGTCGCCGTTCACGGGGTGGGCGTCGCCGTTCACGGGGTGGGCGTCGCCGTTCACGGGGTGGGCGTCGCCGTTCACGGGGTGGGCGTCACCGTTCACGGGGTGGGTGTCGCCGTTCACCGCAGAATCCCACGAATTGAGCGAGTGGCTGCTGCTGTTGTTATCAAGACGTCGTTGCTCACCGCAGAGAAGCGTAGCGACACGACCGCCGCCACTCTGCGCTAGCCGGCGCCAAAACTGTGCCACGCTCCCTGCCCCGCGTGGCCCTGTGGGAGCCTCGCTACCGATAAAGTTACTTTAGTTCTCACTGCGTTTCGTTGTGACGACGACGACGACGTTCACGCACTGCGAGCGGAGTCGTCGCAACGGCAAAGGGCGAAGTTCACGCCGGGAACATTTTCAACGGGGGAGGCAGCAGCAACAACACGCAGGGTGATCCAAGTGCAGATGCCCCACTCATGCCTACACCCCCCCAAACGCCATCTCAAAATATTTTTTTTCAGACCGCAGGAATCCGATGAGCTGTGAAGCTCTTCTCCGCAGATCTCCAGCCGTTCCACAGATGTCCTCTCCTACCACCCCCCCACCCCCCACCGCCTCCCCGCAGCTTTCCTCTCAGCAGCAAAGTGAATATCGCGCAAACGATGGCTCGGGGCTACGGGACTGAGTGCACGGAGATTCGTGAGCGGACGCCACCTTCGTCATCGGCAGCGGTTCGGCCTAGCGCTGGATGGGTACGCACTGTACGTACTGTACACACTGTACCCGCGTAGCCCTGCCCCGTACGTCGCACGGGGCAGGGCTACGAGACGGCACGCGGTGCTCACGGAGACCGGCGGGGGACGTGCAGACTGGGGTATCTGTCGGTGGATCGCCCTGCGGTGCCCCCCTCTAGGGTGACAACAGTGCAGCTCTGCACGGGGGACTCTGCGCACTCACACACACAGGGACCCCCAGGTGGTGGGGGTGGGGGGGTGGGGACGTGCAGTGGTTGGGACCGAGAACTCCGCACTTGCAATCAAGGGGTGGCCGGGTCGGTTTAATCTCCCGCCCCCCACAGGGTGTGAGGCAGGTGTAGGAGGATTCCGTAGGTTTCCGTGCTCACATTCAAAATCAGTTTCAAGAGTGGCACAGCCTCGGCTAATCACGTGGCCTGTTGTTGGAAACTAATTCACAGCTCGGCGCTGTGCGCTTTGTGCTCAGGATGGCTGACTTTTCTGTTTCCACGTGGATGAGAAAATGCATTCTGGCCGGTGTGTGTTCTCTGGTGCCTGTGAAGTGTTGATGGCCGTTCAAACGCCTTCTCACACACGGTGCACTTGAACGGCTTCTCTCCCGTGTGTGTTCTCTGGTGGCTGTGAAGAGTTGATAGCCGTGCAAACGCCTTCTCACACACGGTGCACTTGAACGGCTTCTCTCCCGTGTGTGTTCTCTGGTGCCTGTGAAGATCTGGTGGTTGTGCAAACGCCTTCTCACACACGGTGCACTTGAACGGCTTCTCTCCCGTGTGTGTTCTCTGGTGGCTGTGAAGAGTTGATAGCCGTGCAAACGCCTTCTCACACACGGTGCACTTGAACGGCTTCTCTCCCGTGTGTGTTCTCTGGTGCCTGTGAAGATGTGGTAGTTGTGCAAACGCCTTCTCACACACGGTGCACTTGAACGGCTTCTCTCCCGTGTGTGTTCTCTGGTGCCTGTGAAGATCTGGTATTTGTGCAAACGCCTTCTCACACACGGTGCACTTGAACGGTTTCTCTCCCGTGTGTGTTCTCTGGTGTATCTTCAAGCTACTCTTGCGGTCTGTGCTGTATGGACATTGGTCACACTGATGACTTTTGTTACTGGGCTTAACGGGGTGTCTCCTCTGCACGTGATGCTCTAGACTAGAGCGGCAGATGAACTGACGGTTGCAGGCAGGACACGGCAGCCTTGTGACCTCCACACCCACTCCACCTGCGTCATCCCAGAGGCACAAGACACACGCGCATACCAACACCTAGACATGAACACTCTTGAACACGTGTGTGTGTATATACAAAGGTAAAGGTCCCCAACAGCCATATCAGACTGTTGGGCAAGTGCTGTTTGCGAGTACCTATGAAGGCCGGCATGGCACACGAGGGAGAAGGTGACAAACACCAGGCCCGACCGCCTTTGTTTCTCCAGTGGCGATGTTTCCACGTTTAAGCTAGGTACTCATTTGAGGCTGAGTCAATCTAGGGGAGGCCTAAATATTCACCACTTACGTTGACCGTGAGTGAGAATCGAACTCAGTTGGCCGGGTTCGTAGTGCAATGGGCCCCATTATATATACACACAAAGACAAAGAACCCCCGTATAGCCTGTATATACTTTTGGGACAAGTGCTGTTATCGGGCACCGATGAAGGCCAGCACGGCACACGAGTGGGAGGGTGGCCAGCACCACACATGGCCGCCTTTGTCTCCCCAGTGGCGATGTTTACTACTACACACCACACCTGTTACTAACTTGCACCTTATTAGTGTGGGTGGTGCCTATCATCTCTGGTGAGCAGTGGCTATCATCTCTGGTAAGCGGTGGCTATCATCTCTGGTGAGCGGTGGCTATCGTCTCTGGTAAGTGGTGGCTATCATCTCTGGTGAGTGGTGGCTATCATCTCTGGTGAGTGGTGGCTATCATCTCTGGTGAGTGGTGGCTATCATCTCTGGTGAGTGGTGGCTATCATCTCTGGTGAGTGGTGGCTATCATTGCTGGTGAGTGGTGGCTATCATCTCTGGTGAGTGGTGGCTATCATCTCTGGTGAGCGGTGGCTATCATCTCTGGTGAGCGGAAGCTATCATCTCTGGTGAGTGGTGGGTATCATTGCTGGTGAGTGGTGGCTATCATCTCTGGTGAGTGGTGGCTATCATCTCTGGTGAGCAGTGGCTATCATCTCTGGTGAGTGGTGGCTATCATCTCTGGTGAGTGGTGGCTATCATATCTGGTGAGTGGTGGCTATCATCTCTGGTGAGTGGTGGCTATAGTCTGGTGAGCAGTGGTGAGTCTCTGGTGAGCGGTGCTCACAGTGTTCCTCGCTTGGTGGAGGCTGCACGGGCTGCCGGTCTCTGGCGGTGGCCCTGGGAGCCAACTCGCTGCTGCTGCTGCTGCTGCGGCGTCGCGAGGGCCCGGCCTCGCAGGCGATGCCCAGCTCCTGGGCGAACTCCTCGCCGTACCAGACCAGCAGCTCAGAGCCAGGCCCCACGGCACGGAACGTGCGGTAGTAAATCTGCCCCCGGTGCTGGAAGGCCACCAGGTTCTGCTCCTGCTCATTCCTCGCGCAGTTGACGAACCTGCGGGGGCAGACGCGGGGGGCGGGGTGGGCGCCGTTAGCGAGCGCCTATTAAGGGCCGGCACTGGGCGCTACGTGGGGGTGGTGTGGCTGGAACCACGCTCAGTACCGGGTGCTCATTTGATGCAGAGTCGACCAAGGGGAGGCCAAGGGTCTCTGTGGGCAGTGGTTCTGTTCTCTGTGTGTGGTGGTTCTGGTCTCTGTGTGTGGTGGTTCTGGTCTCTGTGTGTGGTGGTTCTCGTCTCTGTGTATGGTGGTTCTGGTCTCTGTAGTGGTTCTGGTCTCTGTTTGTAGTGGTTCTGGTCTCTGTGTGTGGTGGTTCTGGTCTCTGTGTAGTGGTTCTGGTCTCTGTGTGTCATGGTTCTAGTCTCTGTGTGGTGGTTCTGGTCTCTGTTTGGTGGTTCTGGCCTCTGTGTGTAGTGGTTCTGGTCTCTGTGTGTGGTGGTTCTGGTCTCTGTGTAGTGGTTCTGGTCTCTGTGTGTCATGGTTCTAGTCTCTGTGTGGTGGTTCTGGTCTCTGTGTGTGGTGGTTCTGGCCTCTGTGTGTAGTGGTTCTGGTCTCTGTGTGTAGTGGTTCTGGTCTCTGTTTAGTGGTTCTGGTCTCGGTAGTGGTTCCGATCTCTTTGTAGTGGTTCTTAAGACAAGAATCACCTCATCCAGTTTGATTTAGATTCATCCTGAGCATCAACATATTCACGATCCTTTTTGTTTTTGTAAATCTGAAACACACACGAGCAGATCCACGGATAATTAATGTGAGTTGGACCGTAACTTGAACTTCTTTCATACCGGACGTAGCCAACCGTGCTGATCGGAGGTGGGGGGGAAGGACAACAAACTAAACAATAAAAGCAGTTCTAAAGAAATGAATTTTCAATCTACAAGATTTAAAAGTGCATAGCTCCAGTAGCTTCCTAATATTGTAAGGAAGAACCTTCCAGACGGCCACAGAAGTGCGTCTGTAAGCACGATGTGTAGACAAACGACGCTGCTGCTGCTGCTGCGAGCATGAACAGAGTTTGCGTGATGATGGTTTATGCTTCTTGACGAGATCAGCGGCGAGGTGTCGTGGTTTATTTTTGCATAAGGAGTGCGTGAGGAGGAACCACCAGTCTGTGGTTCCTCCTCGCGCATCGAAGTTGTTCTGTCCTTGCAAGCGAGCGGCTACTGTGGGTTACAAGTTGAACTCATAATGACGTTAAATTTTGGGTCTCTCTGTGAATCTGTGGGTCCCTGTGTGAGTCTCTGAGTCTCTGTGCAAGTCTCTAGGGCTCTGTGCGAGTCTCTGGGTCTCTGTGCAAGTCTGTGGGTCTCTGTGCAAGTCTCTAGGGCTCTGTGCGAGTCTCTGGGTCTCTGTGCAAGTCTGTGGGTCTCTGTGCGAGTCTCTAGGTCTCTGTGCGAGACTTTGGGTCTCTGTGCGAGTCTCTAAGGTCTCTGTGTGAGTCTGTGGGTGACTGTGTGAAGCTATGGGTTTCTCTGTATCTCCCTCACGAGCCTCCTCTCCACACACGACGACGACGATGATGATGTAGGAATAGGAGGAGGCTGCAGCAGTGGCAGTGGCAGCAGCAGCAGCAGCAGCTCACCAGCCAGCAGTACTCGCTCACGGGGTTCTCCTCAGACACCTCTCCCTGGTAGGGCCCAAACATCACCCCCTTGGGCAGCTTCTTCCTGTTGCTCCACACCCCGAGGCCGGCGCCGGCGATGGAGGAGGCGCCGACGGTGAGGCCCTGGGGCAGGCTGAGCCGGGCCCTGTCGGCCACTCCCGGGGCCACGGCCGCGTCCGCGATGAACTCTGGCGGGCCGTGCACGGAGCACTCCCCCAGGTAGAAATCCCTGCACAGCTCGCAGACTGAGAGCCACAGCAGCAGCAGCAGGGGGGCGAATCGCAGTAGCAGAAGCAGCAGCAGCAGTGGCACTGTGAGAGAGTGAGAGGGTGAGGAGCGCTCCAGACAGATGCCTCCATCCCTCCCTCTCTGCATGGTGAACTTATTTAGCTCGCTCATCGGAGATGTATCCCCTGTCACCCTCCCTGCATCCCTCCCTCCCTGCATCCCTGAGCGAGGGAGCAAAAGAGAGAGAGGTGAGTGAGAGTGCGAGAAAGGGAGCGTGTGAGAGGGAGGGCGAGGGGGAGAGAGTGAGAGGGAGCAGGTGGAATATATCGAGTGAGAGCGCGGGAGCAATAGAGGGAGATAGGTGAGAGTGTGAGACAGTGAGAGTGTAACAAAGCGAGAGAGAGAGTGTGAGAAAGTTAGAGTAAGAGAGAGAGAGAGTGAGAAAGTGACAGAGAGTGAGAAAGTGACAGTGAGAGAGTGTGACAAAGTGAGAGTAAGAAAGTGACAGTGAGAGAGAGTGAGAGAGTAACAGAGAGTGAGAGAGTGAGAAAGTGAGAGAGAGAGGTAGAGGGAGCAGGGGGTCTCACAGAAGAAGTCGTCGTCCTGGGGCTCCTCCACCTCTGTGTAGACTTTCCTCTCGCGCTGCCGCAGGCCGTAGCGAGAGCGAGCGCTGAGCGACACCGCCGCAGCCTGGGCGGAGGAGGCCGGCGGCACGGAGGAGCCTGCGGGCAAACGCGGCGAGATGTTGACCACCTCTCCCGGTGTACGGGAGGTCGTGGGTTCCATCCCGACCCTGACGAAGCCTGCCGTACATCTGCAGCCCGCGCGTCTCTCTCTCTCTCCGTGGCGAGACGTTGACTCCCTCGCGTGGTCTACGGGAGGTCGTGGGTGCGATCCCGACCCTAACGACCCACGCTGTATGTTTGGAGTCTGCGTGTTGTACCTCCCCGTGGTTGCGTGGTTTCCGGTGAGAATAGAGGGAAGTGTGGAGTTCCGGTGAGAATAGAGAGGAGCGTGGAGTTCCGGTGAGTCTGCGTGTCGTACCTCCACGTGGTTGCGTGGATTTTTCCCCGGGTCCTCTGGTTTTTTTCCTGGACATTTAGAATCAACGTCACGCTTGATTTGAAGCTTTCGTGACTGCAGGAATCCATACTCTTTGGTTCTTTCGGTAAAGTCACGTAGTAGGTATAAAATAAAATAAATCACGACGTTTCGGGTGCAACACAAGCGTCCGTCATCAAGTGAGAAAGCATGGTCTGCTGCTGAGGCAGAGTGTTCTAAAAGGTTTGAAATGGGTGTTGCCCAAGGGTCATGAAGAAGTGGTGCGGGGCTATTGATGTTGGAGTTGCGGTGTGAATAGAAATCACCGCTGCAGGCTACGCACCTCCACGTATCCTCTGGAGCACCACCCTCAGGGCCTCCTTGCAGGCGGTGGCTCTGCGCTCCAGCCTGAACATCGCCATCCTGGCCTTGTGCACCTCCCTCAGCTCAAATCCCCTGAACTCCTCCTCCTGCTGCTGCTCCTCCTCCACGCCCTGCAAGATGCTCCACACGTACTCCAGGGCTTCCGCTTTAGTCTGAGCGGAGGGGGCGGTGGGGTGAGGGGTCGGGAGGGGGTGTGGGGGGCAGAGTTGGTGCGGTGACCAGCGGTGGCTAGGAGATGTTCACTCCCTCGCCTGGTATGCAGGAGGTCGCAGTAGGTCGTGGGTTCGATCTCGACCCCGACACCTCATCGGATTCCTCCAGTACAATACAAATTCTAATTCTGATATTCTGATTCTGTATATCTGATTCCATACATCAAGCAGAACCATGCCGTCGTCATGCTGAACCTCGGTGGGTATGGCAGGCCAAGCCTCTTCTACGAAAAGTAAAAAGTAATAAAATACAAATTAAGATTCTTCCACTGATCCGTGTTACGTCATTTCTGTACGACTCCAATAATGTTGATCGTCAAAATCGCCAAATTTGCGGAGCTCCGCTGCAAATACAGGGAGACGAGAGGTGAGGCAGCGACGAGCTCAGCCTCCCCTCTGATTGCGCAACCCCTCAGAAACTGGATGGAGCGCGGGCAATAAGCGCGTGCCTGTTACCATCTCTCTGTAATGATTGGAATTATACAGAAATGACATTTATAACACAGATCAGTGGAAACATTGTTTTTTACGTTTCGTAACAGCTTATTTTCATTGGAGTATATGAGAGGTGAGGCTCTAGCCTCGCCTGCCTCCCCTGACCGCACGTCCCTGGTATAGTAGTGTTTAGTAGTACGTACGTATGTTGAAGTTCTTTGGCACCGTACGTAGCCAACCTCGCTAATGGGAGGTGCGTGGGAAGGACAACAAACTAAAGACAACAACAACAGCAGCAGCTGTAACGAGAGGAGTGCCGTGCGCTGTGCACAGAGACCTTGCGCTTGCTGGGAGCTGCCCTCGCGTGCGACTCTCCCACGGTAGCCCAGCGTGAAGCAGCCCCCTTGCCTCCTCCTGCGTGAACACACGCACACACGTGTGAACGCACACACGTGAACACACGCACACACGTGTGAACACACACACGTGTGAACGCACGCACACACGTGTGTTCACACGGACACGCATGAATATATGCAAAGACAAAGATCCCCCGTATAGCCTTAACAGACTGTAGGGGCAAGTGCTCTTAGTGAGCACCTACGAAGGCCGGAATGGTACACGAGGGGGTGGGTGGCCAGCACCACGCCCGACCGCCTTTGTCTCCCCAGTGGCAATGTTTACACACCGCACCAGGTGCTCATTTGAGGCTGAGTCGAGCTAGGGGAGGCCAAGGACCGGTTCAGATAATTGTCACTGGTGTTGACCGTGAGCGGGAATCAAACCCGGGTCGCCAGGTTCATAGCGCAGCGCGCTTACCGCTACACTACCGCTACCCATATGCACAGGCGTTAACACACGCACACACGTGTGAACACACCCACGTGCGTATTTACGCATGCACGCATTTACTCACTCACATATTTACAAATAAATTATCTCCCTTGTGCAGCCTTAACAGTCTACAGGGGTCTCTGCGTGAGTCTACAGGGGTCTCTGTGTGAGTCTACAGGGGGTCTCTGTGTGAGTCTACAGGGGGTCTCTGTGTGAGTCTACAGGGGTCTCTGCGTGAGTCTACAGGGGTCTCTGTGTGAGTCTACAGGGGTCTCTGTGTGAGTCTACAGGGGTCTCTGTGTGAGTCTACAGGGGGTCTCTGTGTGAGTTTACAGGGGTCTCTGTGTGAGTCTACAGGGGTCTCTGTGTGAGTCTACAGGGGGTCTCCGTGTGAGTCTACAGGGGTGTTTGCATGAGTCTACAGGGTCTCTGTGTGAGTCTACAGGGGTCTCTGTGTGAGTCTACAGGGGGTCTCTGTGTGAGTCTACAGGGGGTCTCTGTGTGAGTCTACAGGGGGTCTCTGTGTGAGTCTACAGGGGGTCTCCGTGTGAGTCTACAGGGTCTCTGTGTGAGTCTACAGGGGGTCTCCGTGTGAGTCTACAGGGGTCTCTGTGAGTCTACAGGGGATCTCCGTGTGAGTCTACAGGGGTCTCTGTGTGAGTCTACAGGGGTCTCTGTGTGAGTCTACAGGGGGTCTCTGTGTGAGTCTACAGGGGTCTCTGTGTGAGTCTACAGGGGGTCTCTGTGTGAGTCGACAGGGGGGCTCTGTATGAGTCTACAGGGGGTCTCTGTGTGAGTCTACAGGGGTCTCTGTGTGAGTCTACAGGGGGTCTCTGTGTGAGTCTACAGGGGTCTCTGTGTGAGTCTACAGGGGTCTCTGTGTGAGTCTACAGGGGGTCTCTGTGTGAGTCTATAGGGGGTCTCTGTGTGAGTCTACAGGGGGTCTCTGTGTGAGTCTACAGGGGTCTCTGTGTGAGTCTACAGGGGGTCTCTGTGTGAGTGTACAGGGGTCTCTGTGTGAGTCTACAGGGGGTCTCTGTGTGAGTCTACAGGGGTCACTGCGTGAGTCTACAGGGGGTCTCTGTGTGAGTCTACAGGGGGTCTCTGTGTGAGTCTACAGGGGTCTCTATGTGAGTCTACAGGGGGTCCCTGTGTGAATCTACAGGGGGTCTCTGTGTGAGTCTACAGGGGTCTCTGTGTGAGTCTACAGGGGTCTCTGTGTGAGTCTACAGGGGTCTCTGTGTGAGTCTACAGGGGGTCTCTGTGTGAGTCTACAGGGGGTCTCTGTGTGAGTCTACAGGGGGTCTCTGCGTGAGTCTACAGGGGGTCTCTGTGTGAGTCTACAGGGGTCACTGCGTGAGTCTACAGGGGTCTCTGTGTGAGTCTACAGGGGGTCTCTGTGTGAGTCTACAGGGGTCTCTGTGTGAGTCTACAGGGGTCTCTATGTGAGTCTACAGGGGGTCCCTGTGTGGATCTACAGGGGGTCTCTGTGTGAGTCTACAGGGGTCTCTGTGTGAGTCTACAGGGGGTCTCTGTGTGAGTCTACAGGGGTCTCTGTGTGAGTCTACAGGGGGCCTCTGTGTGAGTCTACAGGGGGTCTCTGTGTGAGTCTACAGGTGGCCTCTGCGTGAGTCTACAGGGGGTCTCTGTGTGAGTCTACAGGGGGTCTCTGTGTGAGTCTACAGGGGTCTCTGTGTGAGTCTACAGGGGTCTCTATGTGAGTCTACAGGGGGTCCCTGTGTGGATCTACAGGGGGTCTCTGTGTGAGTCTACAGGGGTCTCTGTGTGAGTCTACAGGGGGTCTCTGTGTGAGTCTACAGGGGTCTCTGTGTGAGTCTACAGGGGGCCTCTGTGTGAGTCTACAGGGGGTCTCTGTGTGAGTCTACAGGTGGCCTCTGCGTGAGTCTACAGGGGTCTCTGTGTGAGTCTACAGGGGGTCTCTGTGTGAGTCTACAGGGGTCTCTGTGTGAGTCTACAGGGGTCTCTGTGTGACTCTACAGGGGGACTCTGCGTGAGTCTACAGTGGGTCTCTGTGTGAGTCTACAGGGTTCTCTGTGTGAGTCTACAGGGGGTCTCTGTGTGAGTCTACAGGGGTCTCTGTGTGAGTCTACAGGGGTCTCTGTGTGACTCTACAGGGGTCTCTGCGTGAGTCTACAGTGGGTCTCTGTGTGAGTCTACAGGGGTCTCTGTGTGAGTCTACAGAGGGTCTCTGTGTGAGTCTACAGGGGGTCTCTGCACGCTGTGCAAGCGCCCTTTTACGTTTGCCTCCTCCGCCTCTTCGTCCTCCGTGCACCGCCACCTCCTTCGTCTTCCTCCTCCTCGTCCATTCCTCGTCGGAGTCGCTCGACCGCCCGCACTCCGCTCCATTCCCCCTCGCCCTGCGCTTGCCGCGTGCTCGCATGAACTCGGGCTGGGCCGGGTTCATCCCTGCGCAAGGAGGCAGTCGGTCATTGTTATTTGGACGTATTGGCGGTACACCGGTGCAGCATAGCGACATCACCGGTTCCTCGTAACACAGTCCTGACGATGTGATTATTATCGGAGAGTGTTTGTTTGTCGTGTTCACCACAAGCACGCGTGGTTAATGCAGTAGCTTTGATTCCTTGCAAAAGGAATAATCTATTTGGTGTGTGGACATCTTAACGCCTCCTCCTGTTTGATTGCCAGAAAGGGTGAAAATCGATTCTTATTTTTCACAGCTTTGATACTCGCAAAAAGGTCCGTCATATAGCTGCTCATCCCGAGCTATCAATGCTCTCGATGCTGCATTGTCTTTGTACCTGGTCGCCTTTTGGTGTTGTTCTCTGGTCTGACACTGGTGAGACTAGGACCATGAAGAAGGCTGTCTCTGGGGTAGACCAATCAGTTTCAAAGGCAACGATTAAATATTATCGGAGAGTGTTTGTTTGTCGTGTTCGCCACAAGTACGCGTGGTTAATGCGGTAACTTGATTCCTTGCAAAAGCTACAATCTATCTGGTGTTTGAACATCTTAACCGCCTCCTGTTTCATTCCCCTAAAGCGTAAAACCTATTCTTATTTTTCACAGTCCCGACGATGTCGCTGTCGCCCCTTGAGTGAGCTGCAGGACTCTCCGTCAGAAGTTGCACTCAGATTCAGCAGCCGCGTCCCCCATTCCGAACGTGCGGTGGCGACACCACGAGTCGTATCGAGGAACCGTCCCACCGAGTCTCTAGGGGCACGAGGAGTCAAATCTTGCCGCTGGAGCACGGAGCAGCCGCTGGAGCACAGAGCAGCAGATCGTCATCACACTGGGCACGACTGGAGCACGGAGCAGCAGATCGTCATCAGACTGGGCGCCGCTGTACGTCAACAGACTGCGAAGCTTCGTGTTAAGTTCTGCTCGTGTCACGTTCCGTCTTCCCGCCGCTACGGCATCACAACAACTGATTTTGACGCACCACCACCACCACCACCCCGTAATATCCTTCTGACCGGGGTCTCGAATCGCGAGGAAAATAAAAAATTATCGCCAACAATGTGCTGATTATTTTATACAGCGTAACGGTGTACCACCGCCACTACGTTCATCTATATAATGTGGCTGCTACAACAACACCAAGCAATACAGTAAACACGATAGGAGTGCAAAGTATAGGAAAGGTTAACAAATCACACACACACAAAATAAACTATTTTTGTAAATTTTGTGGGTTTACTCTCCAACATTAGGAATCCGATGAGCTATGAAGCTCTTTTTCACACATGTCCCATAGGGGGCACGGGGCCAGGAAAATGACAACAACAACGACACAATACACAAACACGATAGCAGTGCAAAGTAGAGGAAAGGTAAACAAATCATTATTCTAAAACTAAATCTATTTTTACTTCACCAGGTGAAGTCCACTGAGCTATCGGCTTCTTCAGAAGCCACCTGGCTGCCACAAATGACAGCTCAACCAAGTGGCTCACCACGTGGACATTTACAGCAGCAGCCAAATACGTTAAACGCGTGATGTTGATTCTACATTGTGGAGCGACAACCCAGAGGACCGGGATCGAACCCACGACCTCCTGTAGACCAGGCGAGGGAGTTAACATCTCACGGGGGAGAGACACACGCAGACTCCAGATATATGACAGGCATCGTCAGGGTCGGCATCGAACCCACAACCTCCTGTACACCAGGCGAGGTAGTTAACATCTCACCGGGGAGAGACACACGTAGACTCCACATATATGACAGGCATCGAACCCACGACCTCCTGTAGACCAGGCGAGGTAGTTAACATTTCACGGGGGAGAGACACACGCAGACTCCAGATATGTGATAGGCATCGTCAGGGTCGGCATCAAACCCATGACCTCCTGTAGACCAGGCGAGGGAGTTAACATCTCATAGCCACCGTGGCGCCCCGTGCATGGCACTCTGCTACGACGTTCTGGTCTCATCATCATTATAATCACTACGACAATTAGTTTAGTTGTGAAGAGGCTAGGGCCTGCCGTACCCACCGAGGTTCAGCATGACGGCGTGGTTCTGCTTGATGTTCCTGTAGCGCCGCTTCTCGCACTCGGCCAGATCGCCCCACTCGGCCTTGGTGAAGAAGCCTCTGATGTCTGGGAAGTCGCCCATCTCCTGCTGCTGAGGCGCAGAGACACGGAGGGGACGAGACGCGGACGACGGTCAGACGCAGTCACGGAGACGCAGTCACGGAGATGGAGTCACACGGATAGCGAGTCACGGAGATGGAGTCACACGGATAGCGAGTCACGGAGATGGAGTCACACGGATAGCGAGTCACGGAGATGGAGTCACACGGATAGCGAGTCACGGAGATGGAGTCACACGGATAGCGAGTCACGGAGATGGAGTCACACGGATAGCGAGTGACGGAGATGGAGTCACACGGATAGCGAGTCACGGAGATGGAGTCACACGAATAGCGAGTGACGGAGATGGAGTCACACGGATAGCGAGTCACGGAGATGGAGTCACACGAATAGCGAGTGACAGGGATACGAGACAAAGATCCCCCGTGTGGCCTTAACAGACTGTCTGGGCAAGCGCTGTTAGCGAGTAGCGCCTATGAAGGCCGGAACGACGCGCGAGGGGGTGGGTGGCCAGCACCACGCCCGGCCGCCTTTGTCTCCCCAGTGGCGATGTTCACTACTTCACACCCGCTACACCGGGTGCTCATTTGAGGCTGAGTCGACCTAGGGGACGAGGCCCAGGACCGGGTTAGAAGATCGTCGCCGGTGTTGGCCGAGCGCTGCGCTACGAAGCCGGCAGAGACCCGAGTTCCATTCCCGCTCACGGCCACCACCAACAGCGGTGACGATCATCTGAACCGGTCCTGGGACCTCGTCCCCTAGGTCGACTCGGCCTCAAATGAGCACCCGGTGTAGCGGTGTGTGAACATCGCCACTGGGGAGACAAAGGCGGCCGGGCGTGGTGCTGGCCACCCACCCCCTCGTGTGCCACAGTGCCGGTAGCCTAAATGGGTGCTGCTCACTAACAGCCTGTTAGAGGCTACACGGGGGATCTTTGTCTTTGTGGTAAAGTGTGAGGACTCCCCACCTCTACCATGACGTACTAGCTCCAGATAGAGGTAACTTTACCCCACGTTAGTTAAATTTACCTCAGATGCGGTAACTTTACCTCAGGTGAGCTAACTTTACCTCATGTGAGCTAACTTTACCTCATGTGAGCTAACTTTACCTCAGGTGAGGTAACTTTACCACAAATGAGATTACTTTACCTCAAGTGAGGTAACATTACGTTAGGTAGAGGTAACTTTACCTCAGGTGAGGTAACTTTACCTCAGGGGAGGTAACTTTACCTCAGGTGAGGTAACTTTATCTCAGGTGAGGTAACTTTACCTCAGGCCAGGTAACTTTACCTCAGGCAGAGGTAAAATTACCTCAGGTGAAGTAACATCTCAAGAGAGATAACTTTACCTCATGCGAGGTAACATTACCTTTGGTGAAGTAAAATTACTTCAGGTGAGGTAACTTTTCTTGAGGTGAAGTAACTTTACCTCAGGTAGAGGTAATATTACCCCACGTTAGTTAAATTTACCTCAGGTGAGATAACTTTACCTCAGGTGAGGTAACTTTACCTCAAATGAGATAACTTTACCTCAAGTGAGGTAACATTACGTTAGGTAGAGGTAACTTTACCTCAGGTGAGGTAACGTTACCTCAGGAGAGGTAACTTTACCTCAGGTGAGGTAACATTACCTCAGGTAGAGGAAACTTTATCTCAGTTGAGATAACTTTACCTTAGGCGAGGTAAATTTACCTCAGATGAGATAACTTTACTTCAGGTAGAGGAAACATTACCTCAGGTGAAGTAGCTTTACCTCAAGTGATGTAATATAACGTTAAGTAGAGGTAACTTTACCTCAGGTGAGATAACTTTACCTCAGATGAGGTAACTTTACCTTAGGCGAGGTAAATTTACCTCAGGTAAAGTAACAGTATCTCAAATGAGGTAACTTTACCTCATGCGAGGTAACATTACCGTAGGTGAAGTTAAATTACTTCAGTTGAGGTAACTTTTCCTGAGGTGAAGTAACTTTACCTCAGGTAGAGGTAACATTACCCCACGTTAGTTCAATTTACCTCAGGTGAGATAACTTTACCTCAGGTGAGGTAACTTTACCTCAAGTGAGGTAACATTACGTTAGGTAGAGGTAACTTTACCTCAGGTGAGATAACTTTACCTCAGGTGAGGTAACATTACCTCACTGAGGGTAAGGTAATCAGAATGTGATGCAATCCGAATAAAATCACGTTACATTATAAGGTAATCTTCACCGCGACATTCTCATTCAGTGCAAAGTAAATATTATACAATTAATTAGTCGCTCGTGTCAACACTGTACTAGATGTGGAGCTGTAATCGTAACGTGAAGTCGTCTCGTAGCCTAAATCTTACACGATTTAAAATACGGACTGCAATGTAACCCCCGTGTAATGTAACCCTTCTAATAATCACCGTGTAATGTAATCAAAATGTAATCCTTCATATAAGGTAACATTACCTCAGGTGATGTAACTTATAATCCCCGTATAATGTATTGTGAATGTAATCTCCGTGTAATGTTACCCGAATGTAATCCCCGTGTAATGTAATCCCCGTGTAATGTAATCCCCGTGGTAATGCAATCTCCGTGGTAATGCAATCCCCGTGCGATGTAATCCCCGTGTAATGTAATCCCCGTGTAATGTAATCCTCGTGTAATGTAATCCCCGTGTAATGTAATCCCCGTGTAATGTAACGTCCTTGCCTCTGTGGGAGCTGACGCCATTGACGCGGCTTCTCCCTTCCTTGGCTCGGCGCGGGAAAATTCGAATGGGGGAGTGGGGGTGGGGTGGGGGTGGGGGTGGGGGGTGGGGGTGGGGGTGGGGGGTGGGGGGTGGGGGTTGGGGGTGGGGGGTGGGGGGAGTGGGAGGAGTTTAGGGAGTTGGGGGAGTGGGGGGTGGGGGCAGTGGGGGTGGGGAATGGAGTGGGGGTGGGGGTGAAGGTGAGGAGGGGTGGGGGAGTTTAGGGAGTGGGGGTCGAGAGGAGTGGGGAGTGGGATTGGGGGTTGCGGGGGGTGAGGGAGACGTATGACGTCATCGCGCTTTGATCCCAACAGACTCCGAGAGGGGAGATGCGATACGGGTGACGTCACTACGCAATGACGTAATCAGATTTTTTAAAATAAATCTGAATCTTTATGGTGTAGGGGGTATCCGATAAGCTATAAAGCTCTTTGTGTCACAGATATTCAGTAAGGGGCACAATCTGGCTGTCCGCCTGATGATGCTGGTTGTGATTACTGGCGAAACGTCTTACTCAGATTTATAAATGTTGTGGATTTGCTCTCCAAAACACAACCGGTGTAGTGCTACACTATACACTACACTATACACTACACTATACACTACTATACACTATACACTACACTATACACTACTATACACTACACTATACACTACACTATACACTACTACACTACTATACACTACACTACTATACACTACACTATACACTACACTATACACTACACTATACACGACACTATACACTACACTATACACTACACTATACACTACTATACACTACACCACTATACACTACACTATACACTACACTACACTACTATACACTACACTATACACTACACTATACACTACACTACTATACACTACACTATACACTACACTACTATACACTATACACTACTATACATTACACTACTATAAACTACACTATACACTACACTACTGTATACTATACTATACACTACACTATAAACTACACTACTATACACTACACTATACACTACACTATACACTACACTATACACTACTATACACAACACTATACACTACACTATACACTACACACTACACTATACACTACTATACACTACACTATACACTACACTATACACTAGTGCTGTACTAAATCACGAGTTGGCACGTTCTGCTCACGTGACAAACCCTCTTACTAATTGGCTGTGTCGGGTGGTGTCGGTTTTAACGACACAACATTTATATTGACGCAACGCAACGCCAGAAAAAAACCCCTCTAATTATGGATCCTCAATCTGAATAAAAACCTCCAACGACAAAAACAAAATCTCAATCGATTAATTAATTTCATGGTGACCTCCTTTGCCAGGACCAAAATATGAGAACAGGTTTTCCCCTTTTTTCTGGCAACAAAACAGCTGCGTTAAGATGTTAAAACACCAAACTTAAACCTTTTACAAGGATTCATACTCTTTGGTTTAAAGCTTTCGTGACTGCAGGGATTCATATTCTTGGTTCTTTCGGTAAAGTCATCACCACGTAGAAGGGAAACAATAAAATAATAAAAATATAAAAACAATAAAATTCTCACGACGTTTCGACTGCAACACAAGCAATCATCATCAGGTGTGAATTTTATTGTTTTATATTTTTATTATTTTATTGTTTACCTTCTACGTGGTGACTTTACCGAAAGAACCAGTCATTTTGCTGTGCCCCTTGTGATGTAATATAACGTTAATTAGAGGTAATCTTACCTCAGGCGAGGTAACTTTACCTCAGGTGAGGTAACTTTACCTCAGATGAGGTAACTTTACCTTAAGCGAGATAACTTTATCTCAGATAGAGGAAACATTATCTCAAGTGAGGTAACTTTACCTCAGATGAGATAACTTTACCTCAGGCGAGGTAACTTTACCTCAGATAGAGGTAACATTACCTCAGGTAGAGGTAACTTTACCTCAGATGAGGTTACTTTACCTTAAGCGAGATAACTTTATCTCAGGTAGAGGTAACTATACCCCAGGTTAGTTAACTTTACCTCAGGCGAGGTAACGTTACCTCAGATGAGGTAACTTTACCTTAGGTGAGTTAACTTTACGTCAGGCGAGATAACTTTACCTCAGGTAGAGGTAACATTATCTCAAGTGAGGTAACTTTACCTCAGATGAGGTAACTTTACCTTAGGTGAGGTAACATTACCTCAGGTAGAGGTAACTTTACCTCAGGTCGAGGTAACATTACCTCAGGTAGAGGTAACTTTACCTCAGGTAGAGGTAACTTTACCTCAGGTGAGGTAACTTTACCTCAGATAGAGGTAACTTTACCTCAGGTAGAGGTAACTTTACCTCAGATAGAGGTAACTTTACCTCAGGTAGAGGTAACATTACCTCATATAGAGGTAACATTACCTCAGGTAGAGGTAACGTTACCTCAGATGGAGGTAACTTTACCTCATATAGAGGTAACATTACCTCAGGTGAGGTAACATTACCTCAGATAGAGGTAACTTTACCTCAGGTAGAGGTAACATTACCTCAGATAGAGGTAACTTTACCTCAGGTAGAGGTAACATTACCTCATATAGAGGTAACTTTACCCCAGGTAGAGGTAACTTTACCTCAGATAGAGGTAACTTTACCTCAGGTGAGGTAACTTTACCTCAGGTAGAGGTAACTTTACCTCAGATAGAGGTAACTTTACCTCAGGTAGAGGTAACTTTACCTCAGATAGAGGTAACGTTGTGTCAAAGTAACCCTCACGTAGTGCAGGCCGCGTGCCACTGTAATCGTTAAACACAACGCTCGCGTGACGTCACCACCTCACTTCACGCGGCAGCCTCGAAGTGCACCCAGCCTGGCACAGGCGCCGTGGGGACGTCACCATCACTGAGTGGCCAATGGCGGTGGTTGGTGGTGGGGGGGAGTGGGGGGGGGGTAACGGGGGTGGGAGGGGTGGGGGGTAACGGGGGAGTGGGGGGGGGGCGAGACGCGTGACGTCACCACGCAGTGACGTCATCAGAGTTTTTAAGTTAAAAAAATTCTGGAGGAATCCGATGAGCTGTGAAGCTCTTTATTATCCACAGATGTCCAGTAGGGGCACGGGGTCAGAATTCCACAACAACAAACACAATACAATAAACACCATGGGAGTGCAGAGTATAGGAAATGTAGGCACGTGACCACAACAAATCTGTAGGGGCGTGTGAATTGAAGTCTGTAGGGGCGTGTGAAGTGAAGTCTGTAGGGGCGTGTGAATTGAAATCTGTAGGGGCGTGTGAAGTGAAGTCTGTAGGGGCGTGTGAAGTGAAGTCTGTAGGACAGTGTGATGGGTAAGTTTGTTGGGTCATAGTTTTACCATCCTTGACGTGCAGGGATGACGACTAGGATTGGTGTTGTTAGGATCAGCGGCGAGCAGTTGTGACCAGGTGCTGCTGTGTGTAACGATTACAGATGACAGTGAGGGGGAAAAAAGCATTTGATCCCCTGCTGATTTTGTACGTTTGCCCACTGACAAAAGAAATGATCAGTCTATAATTTTAACGGTAGGTTTATTTGAACAGCGAGAGACAGAATAACAACAAGAAAATCCAGAAAAACGCGAGTTTAAGAGCCGGGAGCCAACAACAGCTTGGGGCTCGCAATGGCTACAGCGACTATTGGAACGGTCGATGCGGCCTCTGCGTTGAACAGCAGGAGACAACGGGTACAGTCTGGTTCCGCTACAACGCTGCGTGTTAGTTCTAACGACGCCAACTGGACGACGTAACGCCGTGAATGTATCGTAAGGGGATACACGCCGTCCGTAACGAGGACGCGGATTGGATGCGACGCGACCGAGCGAACGGAACTACGTCTCAACGCGAGTAGGAGTAAGCGGTTCTACGTGCGGCTGCCCTCGGCGTAGCGGCGTCGCAACGAGGAGGAGGCGTTGGGATGCTGCTGGATGCTTCTAGACGCTACCCACGCGCCTCGGTCTTAGTCCCGCCTCTGTCTTGCCCATCATCTCGCGTGTTATCGCGGACCACGCTTCACCCCCCACTATAGTTTATATTATTTCTCCACAACGCGGTTGTTCTTCAGGAACGCAACAACCACCGCCGCGTTGCGGGAGAACGACGGACCGTGAACGCGCTTCGACGATTCGCGGCAACGCGACGGCAACACAAAGCGCCACGCGCGGTCTCTCGCGACCGGCGGTATCTGCGACGAAGGTTTTTGTCGTCGTTGCCGCCGGGTTAGATGGCGTTGGATCACAATCCTGGCACGTCGCCCGATGAAGCCGGTCGCCGTTGTTTGTAATCGCCGGTGAAACGTCACCGGTACTCGAATTGTAAATGCTGTGGTGGGTTCACTCTCCCCGACACACAAGCGCCGTGTGTGCTGAAGTTGGTAACCAATTGGCACGTTTCGTTTACGTGACAAACCCTGACTGATTGGCCGTGCCAGGCGATGGTAGTGGGTGGTGGTGGGTTAACGACACAATGTTTATGTTTACGAGATCTCTAACCCAACAACAACAATAACAAAAACCAAACCTCTGTCACGGAAAAGTGTCGCCACAGAGCAAGTCGCTCCCACCTCCTGGAGACACTGACAGAGCAAGTCGCTGGGACCTCCTGGAGACACTGACACAGAGCAAGTCGCTCCCACCTCCTGGAGACACTGACACAGGGCAAGTCGCTCCCACCTCCTGGAGACACTGACACAGAGCAAGTCGCTCCCACCTCCTGGAGACACTGACACAGAGCAAGTCGCTGGGACCTCCTGGAGACACTGACACAGAGCAAGTCGCTCCCACCTCCTGGAGACACTGACACAGAGCAAGTCGCTCCCACCTCCTGGAGACACTGACAGAGCAGGTCGCTGGGACCTCCTGGAGACACTGACACAGAGCAAGTCGCTGGGACCTCCTGGAGACACTGACACAGAGCAAGTCGCTCCCACCTCCTGGAGACACCGGCACGGGCTGTGTGAGCTGGGCTGCCTTCACAACCAACGAGACGCCGGCGCTGCCAATTGGGACCAAGACGTCAGCGCTGCCTCCACCGGTCCGGTGAGGTCATTCTCAACAGCAGGTTTTTGTTTTTTTACTTCACTTTACTTTTCCAGGTAAGGCCCCCACTGAGCTGTGCGGTAGCGACCTGCCTATCACAAATGACGGCGGCGCACCGAAGTTGCTTGTCACGTGACATTTACAGCAGCCAAATACTCTGAACGCATGTTGAGATGTTAACCACCTCTCCTGGTATACAGGAGATCGTTGGTTCGATTCCGACCCTGACGCCTGCTGTATATTTTGAGTTTGCGCGTGTCTCTCTCTCTCTCCCCGTGGTCGTGTGGATTTTTCTCCAGGTCCTCCGGTTTTTCCCCTCGACATTTAGAATCGAGATCACGCAATCAGAGTATCTGGCCGCTATCAATGTCCACACAATGATGAGCCACTTCGCTGAGCTTTCATTTGTGATGGCCAGGTGGTAGCGTCTGATAAAAGAGCCTCTACATATTCTGTTGGACCTTACTTAGTAAAATCCCAAGATAATTTTTGTTAGTTTAAGTAAGTATATAATTTTAAACAGAATCACAAACTAACGCTCAACTTTCTTAACCGTGTAAGAGTCAACGCGCGCCACCACCGTGCGACGACACGCGAGCAACCGGGACGATGCAAAGAATCTCTCAACACTTTCCCACGTCCGAGACGTCTGCAGAGTTACAGGGTGGGTGTCACGGTTCACTGGGTGGGCGTCGCCGTTCACGGGGTGGGTGTCACCGTTCACGGGGTGGGCGTCGCCGTTCACTGGGTGGGCGTCGCCGTTCACGGGGTGGGCGTCGCCGTTCACGGGGTGGGCGTCACCGTTCACGGGGTGGGCGTCACCGTTCACGGGGTGGGCGTCACCGTTCACGGGGTGGGCGTCACCTTTCACGGGGTGGGTTTCACCGTTCACCGCAGAATCCCACGAATTGAGCGAGCGACTGCTGCTGTTGTTATCAAGACGTCGTTGCTCACCGCAGAGAAGCGTAGCGACACGACCGCCGCCACTCTGCGCTAGCCGGCGCCAAAACTGTGCCACGCTCCCTGCCCCGCGTGGCCCTGTGGGAGCCTCGCTACCGATAAAGTTACTTTAGTTCTCACTGCGTTTCGTTGTTCCGACGACGACGACGTTCACGCACGGCGCGCGGCGTCGTCGCAACGGCAAAGGGTCAAAGTTCACGCCGGGAACATTTTCAACGGGGGAGGCAGCAGCAACAACACGCATGGTGATCCAAGCGCAGATGGCCCACTCATGCATACACCCCCCCAATGCCATCTCTGAATATTTTTTCAGGCCACAGGAATCCGATGAGCTATGAAGCTCTTCTCCGCAGATCTCCAGCCGTTCCACAGATGTCCTCTCCTACCAACCCCCCACCCCCCACCTCCTCCCCGTAGCTTCCCTCTCAGCAGCAAAGTGAATATCGCGCAAGCGATGGCTCGGGGCTACGGGACTGAGTGCACGGAGATTCGTGAGCGGACGCCACCTTCGTCATCGGCCGCGGTTCGGCCTACCGCTGGATGGGTACGCACTGTACGTACGTCGCACGGGGCAGGGCTACGAGTCGGCACGCGGTGCTCACGGAGAGCGGCGGGAGACGTGCAGACTGGGGTATCTGTAGGTGGATCGCCCTGCGGTGCCCCCCTCTAGGGTAACAACAGTGCAGCTCTGCACGGGGGACTCTGCACACTCACACACACAGGGACCCCCAGGTGGTGGGGGTGGGGTGGGGACGTGCAGTGGTTGGGACCGGTTTAATCTCCCGCCCCCCACAGGGTGTGAGGCAGGTGTAGGAGGATTCCGTAGGTTTCCGTGTTCACGTTCAAAATCAGTTTCAAGAGTGGCACAGCCTCGGCTAATCACGTGGCCTGTTGTTTGAAACTAATTCACAGCTCGGCGCTGTGCGCTTTGTGCTCAGGATGGCTGACTTTTCTGTTTTCACGTGGATGAGAAAATGCATTCTGGCCGGTGTGTGTTCTCTGGTGGCTGTGAAGTGTTGATGGCCGTGCAAACGCCTTCTCACACACGGTGCACTTGAATGGCTTCTCTCCCGTGTGTGTTCTCTGGTGGCTGTGAAGAGTTGATGGCCGTGCAAACGCCTTCTCACACACGGTGCACTTGAACGGCTTCTCTCCCGTGTGTGTTCTCTGGTGGCTATGAAGTGTTGATAGTAATGCAAACGCCTTCTCACACACGGTGCACTTGAACGGCTTCTCTCCCGTGTGTGTTCTCTGGTGCCTGTGAAGTGTTGATGGCCGTGCAAACGCCTTCTCACACACGGTGCACTTGAACGGCTTCTCTCCCGTGTGTGTTCTCTGGTGGCTATGAAGTGTTGATAGTAATGCAAACGCCTTCTCACACACGGTGCACTTGAACGGCTTCTCTCCCGTGTGTGTTCTCTGGTGGCTGTGGAGATCTGATAGCCGTGCAAACGCCTTCTCACACACGGTGCACTTGAACGGCTTCTCTTCCGTGTGTGTTCTCTGGTGCCTGTGAAGATCTGGTAGTTGTGCAAACGCCTTCTCACACACGGTGCACTTGAACAGCTTCTCTCCCGTGTGCGTTCTCTGGTGGCTGTGAAGATGTGGTAGTTGTGCAAACGCCTTCTCACACACGGTGCACTTGAACGGCTTCTCTCCCGTGTGTGTTCTCTGGTGGCTGTGAAGATGTTGTAGATGTGCAAACGCCTTCTCACACACGGTGCACTTGAACGGCTTCTCTCCCGTGTGTGTTCTCTGGTGGCTGTGAAGATGTGGTAGTTGTGCAAACGCCTTCTCACACACGGTGCACTTGAACGGCTTCTCTCCCGTGTGTGTTCTCTGGTGGTTGTGAAGATGTTGTAGATGTGCAAACGCCTTCTCACACACGGTGCACTTGAACGGCTTCTCTCTCGTGTGTGTTCTCTGGTGTATCTTCAAGCTACTCTTGCGGTCTGTGCTGTATGGACATTGGTCACACTGATGACTTTTGTTACTGGGCTTAGTGGGGTGTCTCCTCTGCACGTGATGCTCTAGACTAGAGCGGAAGATGAACTGACGGTTGCAGGCAGGACACGGCAGCCTTGTGACCTCCACACCCACTACACCTGCGTCATCCCAGAGGCACAAGACGCACACACCAACACCTAGACATGAGCACTCTTGAACACGTGTGTGTATATACAAAGGTAAAGGTCCCCAACAGCCATATCAGACTATTGGGGCAAGTGCTGTTTGCGAGTACCTATGAAGGCTGGCATGGCACACGAGGGAGTAGGTGGCCAACACCAGGCCCGGCCGCCTTTGTCTCTCCAGTGGCGATGTTTCCACGTTTAAGCTAGGTACTCATTTGAGGCTGAGTCAACCTAGGGGAGGCCTAAATATTCACCACTGACGTTGACCGTGAGTGGGAATCGAACTCAGGTGGCCTGGGCCCCATTATATATACACACAAAGACAAAGAACCCCCGTGTAGCCTGTATATACTTATGGGACAAGTGCTGTTATCGGGCACCGATGAAGGCCAGCACGGCACACGAGTGGGAGGGCGGCCAGCACCACACATGGCCGCCTTTGTCTCCCCAGTGGCGATGTTTACTACTACACACCACACCTGTTACTAACTTGCACCTTATTAGTGTGGGTGGTGCCTATCATCTCTGGTGAGCAGTGGCTATCATCTCTGGTAAGCGGTGGCTATCATCTCTGGTGAGCGGTGGCTATCATCTCTGGTAAGCGGTGGCTATCATCTCTGGTGAGTGGTGGCTATCATCTCTGGTGAGTGGTGGCTATCATCTCTGGTGAGTGGTGGCTATCATCTCTGGTGAGTGGTGGCTATCATCTCTGGTGAGTGGTGGCTATCATTGCTGGTGAGTGGGAGCTATCATCTCTGGTGAGTGGTGGCTATCATCTCTGGTGAGCGGTGGCTATCATCTCTGGTGAGCGGTGGCTATCATCTCTGGTGAGTGGTGGCTATCATTGCTGGTGAGTGGTGGCTATCATCTCTGGTGAGTGGTGGCTATCATTGCTGGTGAGTGGTGGCTATCATCTCTGGTGAGTGGTGGCTATCATCTCTGGTGAGTGGTGGCTATCATCTCTGGTGAGTAGTGGCTATAGTCTGGTGAGCAGTGGTGAGTCTCTGGTGAGCGGTGCTCACAGTGTTCCTCGCTTGGTGGAGGCTGCACGGGCTGCAGGTCTCTGGCGGTGGCCCTGGGAGCCAACTCGCTGCTGCTGCTGCTGCTGCGGCGTCGCGAGGGCCCGGCCTCGCAGGCGATGCCCAGCTCCTGGGCGAACTCCTCGCCGTACCAGACCAGCAGCTCAGAGCCGGGCCCCACGGCACGGAACGTGCGGTAGTAAATCTGCCCCCGGTGCTGGAAGGCCACCAGGTTCTGCTCCTGCTCATTCCTCGCGCAGTTGACGAACCTGCGGGGGCAGACGCGGGGGGCGGGGTGGGCGCCGTTAGCGAGCGCCTATTAAGGGCCGGCACTGGGCGCTACGTTGGGGTGGTGGGGCTGGAACCACGCTCAGTACCGGGTGCTCATTTGATGCCGAGTCGAACAAGGGGAGGCCCAGGGTCTCTGTGTGCAGTGGTTCTGGTCTCTGTGTGTAGTGGTTCTGGTCTCTGTGTGTGGTGGTTCTGGTCTCTGTGTGTCGTGGTTCAGGTCTCTATGTGTAGTGGTTCTGGTCTCTGTGTGTAGTGGTTCTGGTCTGTGTGTAGTAGTTCTGGTCTCTGTAGTGGTTCCGGTCTCTGTGTGTGGTGATTCTGGTCTCTGTGTGTGGTGGTTCTGGTCTCTGTATAGTGGTTCTGGTCTCTGTAGTGGTTCTGGTCTCTGTGTGTAGTGGTTCTGGTCTCTGTTTGGTGGTTTTGGTCTCTGTAGTGGTTCTGGTCTCTGTGTGTGGTGGTTCTGGTCTCTGTGTGTAGTGGTTCTGGTCTCTATGTGTCGTGGTTCTGGTCTCTGTGTGTGGTGGTTCTGGTCTCTGTGTAGTGGTTCTGGTCTTTGTGTAGTTGTTCTGGTCTATGTGCAGTGGTTCTGGTCTCTATGTGTCGTGGTTCTGGTCTCTGTGTGTAGTGGTTCTGGTCTCTGTGTGTAGTAGTTCTGGTCTCTGTGTGTCTTGGTTCTGGTCTCTGTGTGTGGTGGTTCTGGTCTCTGTGTGGTGGTTCTGGTCTCTGTGTGTAGTGGTTCTGGTCTCTGTGTGTAGTGGTTCGGGTCTCTGTGTGTAGTGGTTCTGGTCTCTACGTGTGGTGGTTCTGGTCTCTGTGTGTAGTGGTTCTGGTCTCTGTGTGGTGGTTCTGGTCTCTGTGTGTAGTGGTTCCGATCTCTGTGTGTCGTGGTTCAGGTCTCTATGTGTAGTGGTTCTGGTCTCTGTGTGTGGTGGTTCTGGTCTCTGTGTGTGGTGGTTCTGGTCTCTGTGTAGTGGTTCTGGTCTCTGTGTAGTGGTTCTGGTCTCTGTAGTGGTTCTGGTCTCTGTGTGTAGTAGTTCTGGTCTCTGTGTGTAGTGGTTCTGGTCTCTATGTGTAGTGGTTCTGGTCTCTGTGTGTAGTGGTTCTGGTCTCTATGTGTAGTGGTTCTGGTCTCTGTGTGTAGTAGTTCTGGTCTCTGTGTAGTGGTTCTGGTCTCTATGTGTAGTGGTTCTGGTCTCTGTGTGTGGTGGTTCTGGTCTCTGTATGTCATGGTTCTGGTCTCTGTGTGTAGTGGTTCTGGTCTCTGTGTGTAGTGGTTCTGGTCACTTTGTGTAGTGGTTCTGGTCTCTGTGTGTGGTGGTTCTGGTCTCTGTGTGTAGTGGTTCTGGTCTCTGTAGTGGTTCTGGTCTCTGTGTGTAGCGGTTCTGGTCTGTTTGGTGGTTCTGGTCTCTGTAGTGGTTCTGGTCTCTGTGTGTGGTGGTTCTGGTGTCTCTGTGCAGTGGTCCTTAAGACAAGAATCACCTCATCCAATTTGATTTTGATTCATCCTGAGCATCAACATATTCACGATCCTTTTTGTTTTTGTAAATCTGAAACACACACGCACACGAGCAGATCCACGGATAATTAATGTGAGTTGGACCGTAACTTGAACTTCTTTCGTACCGGACGTAGCCAACCGTGCTGATCGGAGGTGCGGGGGGAAGGACAACAAACTAAACACTAAGAGCAGTTCTAAAGAAATGAATTTTAAATCTACAAGATTTAAAAGTGCATAGCTCCCAGTGGCTTCCTCATATTGGAAGCAAGAACCTTCCAGACGGCCGCAGAAGTGCGTCTGTAAGAGCCGCGCCATGCGCTGACCATCGTCTTTGCACGATGTGTAGCCAAACGCCGCCGCTGCTGCTGCTGCGAGCATGAACAGAGTTTGCGTGATGATGGTTTATGCTTCTTGACGAGATCAGCCGCGAGGTGTCGTGGTTTATTTTTGCGTAAGGAGTGCGTGAGGAGGAACCACCAGTCTGTGGTTCCTCCTTACGCATCGAAGTTGTTCTGTCCTTGCGAGCGAGCGGCTACTGTGGGTTACAAGTTGAACTCATTATGACGTTAAATTTTGGGTCCCTCTGTGAATCTGTGGGTCCCTCTGTGAATCTGTGGGTCCCTGTGTGAGTCTCTGTGCGAGTCTCTGGGTCTCTGTATGAGACTGTGGGTTTCTGTGCGAGTCTCTGAGTCTCTGTGCGAGTCTCTGGGTCTCTGTGCGAGTCTCTGGGTCTCTGTGTGAGACTGTGGGTCTCTGTGCGATTCTCTGGGTCTCTGTGTGAGACTGTGGGTCTCTGTGCGATTCTCTGGGTCTCTGTGTGAGACTGTGGGTCTCTGTGCGATTCTGTGGGTCTCTGTGCAAGTCTCTGTGCGAGTCTCTAGGTCTCTGTGTGAGACTGTGGGTCTCTCTGTGTGAGTCTGTGGGTCTCTGTGCGATTCTCTGGGTCTCTGTAAGAGTCTCTGGGTCTCTGTGCGAGATTTTGGGTCTCTGTGCGAGTCTCTAAGGTCTCTGTGCGAGTCTGTGGGTGACTGTGTGAAGCTATGGGTTTCTCTCCATCTCCTTCACGAGCCTCCTCTCCACACACACGATGACGATGATGATGTAGGAATAGGAGGAGGCTGCAGCAGTGGCAGCAGCAGCAGCTCACCAGCCAGCAGTACTCGCTCACGGGGTTCTCCTCAGACACCTCTCCCTGGTAGGGCCCAAACATCACCCCCTTGGGCAGCTTCTTCCTGTTGCTCCACACCCCGAGGCCGGCGCCGGCGATGGAGGAGGCGCCGACGGTGAGGCCCTGGGGCAGGCTGAGCCGGGCCCTGTCGGCCACTCCCGGGGCCACGGCCGCGTCCGCGATGAACTCTGGCGGGCCGTGCACGGAGCACTCCCCCAGGTAGAAATCCCTGCACAGCTCGCAGACTGAGAGCCACAGCAGCAGCAGCAGCAGGAGGGGGGTGAATCGCAGTAGCAACAGCAGCAGCAGCAGTGGCACTGTGAGAGAGTGAGAGGGTGAGGAGCGCTCCAGACAGATGCCTCCCTCCCTCCCTCTCTGCATGGTGAAATTATTTAGCTCGCTCATCGGAGATGTATTCCCTGTCACCCTCCCTGCATCCCTCCCCTCCCTCCCTGCATCCCCGAGCGAGGAGCAAAAGAGAGAGAGGTGAGTGAGAGTGCGAGAAAGGGAGCGTGTGAGAGGGAGGGCGAGGGGGAGAGAGTGAGAGGGAGCAGGTGGAATATATCGAGTGAGAACGCGGGAGCAATAGAGGGACATAGGTGAGAGTGTGAGACAGTGAGAGTGTAACAAAGCGAGAGAGATAGGTGAGAAAGTGACAGTGAGAGTGTAACAAAGCGAGAGAGATAGGTGAGAGTGTGAGACAGTGAGAGTGTTACAAAGGGAGAGAGATAGGTGAGAGTGTGAGACAGTGAGAGTGTAACAAAGGGAGAGAGATAGGTGAGAGTGTGAGACAGTGAGAGTGTAACAAAGCGAGTGAGATAGGTGAGAGTGTGAGACAGTGAGAGTGTAACAAAGCGAGAGAGATAGGTGAGGGTGTGGGAAAGTGACAGTGTGAGAGAGAGTGTGAAAGTGACAGTGAGAGATTGACAGTGAGAGAGAGAGTGAGAAAGTAACAGAGTGACAGTGAGAGTGAGAAAGTGAGAGAGAGAGGTAGAGGGAGCAGGGAGTCTCACAGAAGTCGTCGTCGTCCTGGGGCTCCTCCACCTCTGTGTAGACTTTCCTCTCGCGCTGCCGCAGGCCGTAGCGAGAGCGAGCGCTGAGCGACACCGCCGCAGCCTGGGCGGAGGAGGCCGGCGGCACGGAGGAGCCTGCGGGCAAACGCGGCGAGATGTTGACCGCCTCTCCCGGTGTACGGGAGGTCGTGGGTTCCATCCCGACCCTGACGAAACCTGCCGTACATCTGGAGCCCGCGCGTCTCTCTCTCTCTCTCCTCCGTGACGAGATGTTGACTCCCTCGCGTGGTCTACGGGAGGTCGTGGGTGCGATCCCGACCCTGACGACCCACGCTGTACGTTTGGAGTCTGCGTGTCGTACCTCCCCGTGGTTGCGTGGATTTTTCTCCGGGTCCTCAGGTTTTCTCCTCGACGTTCAGAATCGACGTCACGCGTTGAGGGTAATTTGGCCGCTATAAATGTCCACGTGATGACGATGGTGAAAAGTCAACTACGTTGAGGTATCATTTGTGATAGCCAGGACGCTTCTGAAAAAACAGCTACACAGCTCAGTGGGGCTCACCCTGGTAAAATAAACATTGTTTGGTTCATAGGCTGCATTAGTACCAGCAGCAGCACTGACGGGAGCACATGTAGCAGTAGCATCAACAGCATTGGCGACTTCCATCAGCAGCAGAGGAAGATTGCGGAATTCCGGTGGGAATAGAGGGGAGCGTGGAGTTCCGGTGAGAATAGAGGTGGAGTGTGGAGTTCCGGTGAGAATAGAGAGGAGTGTGGAGTTCCGGTGAGAATAGAGTGGAGTGTGGAGTTCCGGTGAGAATAGAGGGGGAGCGTGGAGTTCCGGTAAGAATAGAGGGGAGTGTGGAGTTCCGGTGAGAATAGAGGGGAGCGTGGAGTTCCGGTGAGAATAGAGGGGGAGCGTGGAGTTGCGGTGTGAATAGAAATCACCGCTGCAGGCTACGCACCTCCACGCATCCTCTGGAGCACCACCCTCAGGGCCTCCTTGCAGGCGGTGGCTCTGCGCTCCAGCCTGAACATCGCCATCCTGGCCTTGTGCACCTCCCTCAGCTCAAATCCCCTGAACTCCTCCTCCTGCTGCTGCTCCTCCTCCACGCCCTGCAAGATGCTCCACACGTACTCCAGGGCTTCCGCTTTAGTCTGAGCGGAGGGGGCGGTGGGGTGAGGGATCGGAAGGGGGTGTGGGGGGCAGAGTTGGTGCGGTGACCAGCGGTGGCTAGGAGATGTTCACTCCCTCGCCTGGTACGCAGGAGGTCGCGGGTTTGATCTCGACCCTGACACCTCATCGGATTCCTCCAGTACAATACATATTCTAATTCTGATATTCTGATTCTGTATATCTGATTCCATACATCACGCATAACCATGCCGTCGTCATGCTGAACCTCGGTGGGTATGGCAGGCCAAGCCTCTTCTACGAAAAGTAAAAAGTAATAAAATACTAATTAAGATTCTTCCACTGATCTGTATTTCGTCATTTCTGTACGACTCCAATAATTTTGATCGTCAAAATCGCCAAATTTGCGGAGCTCCGCTGCAAATACAGGGAGACGAGAGGTGAGGCAGCGACGAGCTCAGCCTCCCCTCTGATTGCGCAACCCCTCAGAAACTGGATGGAGCGCGGGCAATAAGCACGTGCCTGTTACCATCTCTCTGTAATGATTGGGATTATACAGAAATGACATTTATAACAGAGCAGTGGAAATTTTTATTTTTTACTTTTCGTAACAGCTATTTTCATTGGAGTATATGACAGGTGAGGCTCAAGCCTCGCCTGCCTCCCCTGACCGCACGTCCCTGGTATAGTAGTGTTTAGTAGTCCGTACGTATGTTGAATTTCTTTGGCACCGTACGTAGCCAACCTCGCTAATGGGAGGTGCGTGGGAAGGTCAACAAACTAAAGACAACAACAACAGCAGCTGTAACGAGAGGAGTGCCGTGCGCTGTGCACAGAGACCTTGCGCTTGCTGGGAGCTGCCCTCGCGTGCGACTCTCCCACGGTAGCCCAGCGTGAAGCAGCCCCCTTGCCTCCTCCTGCGTGAACACACGCACACACGTGTGAACACACGCACACACGTGTGAATACACACACGTGAACACACGCACGTGTGAACACACGCACACACGTGAAAACACGCACACACGTGAACACACGCACGTGAACACACGCACACACGTGTGAACACACGCACACACACGTGAACACACGCACGCACGTGTGAACCCACACACACATGAACACACGCACACAAGTGAACACACGCACACACGTGTCCATGTGTGTGAACACATGGATACCCGTTAACACACGCACACACGTGTGAACACACCCACGTGTGTATTTACGCATGCAGGCATTTACTCACTCACATATTTACAAATAAATTAATGATCTACCTTGTGCAGCCTTAACAGACTGTTATCACAGGACAGAACCAGGTTCCATGGGTTGGGGGTCTCTGTGTGAGTCTACAGGGGTCTCTGTGTGAGTCTACAGGGGGTCTCTTCGTGAGTCTTCAGGGGGCCTCTGCATGAGTCTACAGGGGTCTTTGTGTGAATCTACAGGGCGCTCTGTGTGAGTCTACAGGGGGCTCTGTGTGAGTCTACAGGGGGTCTCTGTGTGAGTCTACAGGGGGTCTCTGTGTGAGTCTACAGGGGGCCTCTGTGTGAGTCTACAGGGGTCCCTGTGTGAGTCTACAGGGGTCTCTGTGTGAGTTTACAGGGGTCTCTGTGTGAGTCTACAGGGGGTCTCTGTGTGAGTCTACACAGGTCTGTGTGAGTCTACAGGGGGTCTCTGTGTTAGTCTACACGGGTCTCTGTGTGAGTCTACAGGGGGTCTCTGTGTGAGTCTACAGGGGGTCTCTGTGCGAGTCTACAGGGGTCTCTGTGTGAGTTTACAGGGGTCTCTGTGTGAGTCTACAGGGGTCTCTGCGTGAGTCTACAGGGGGTCTCTGTGTGAGTCTACGGGGGGTCTCTGTGTGAGTCTACAGGGGTCTCTGTGTGAGTCTACAGGGGTCTCTGTGTGAGTCTACAGGGGGTCTCTGTGTGAGTCTACAGGGGGTCTCTGTGTGAGTCTACAGGGGGTCTCTGTGTGAGTCTACAGGGGGTCTCTGTGTGAGTCTACAGGGGGTCTCTGTGTGAGTTTACAGGCGTCTCTGTGTGAGTCTACAGGGGGTCTCTGTAAAAAGTCTACAGGGGGTCTCTGTGTGAGTTTACAGGGGTCTCTGTGTGAGTCTACAGGGGGTCTCTGTATGAGTCTACAGGGGGTCTCTGCGTGAGTCTACAGGGGTCTCTGTGTGAGTCTACAGGGGGTCTCTGTGTGAGTCTACAGGGGGTCTCTATATGAGTCTACAGGGAGTCTCTGTATGAGTCTACAGGGAGTCTTTGTATGAGTCTACAGGGGGTCTCTGTGTGAGTCTAAAGGGGGTCTCTGCGTGAGTCTACAGGGGTCTCTGTGTGAGTCTACAGGGGGTTTCTGCACGCTGTGCAAGCGCCCTTTTACGTTTGCCTCCTCCGCCTCTTCGTCCTCCGTGCACCGCCACCTCCTTCCTCTTCCTCCTCCTCGTCCATTCCTCGTCGGAGTCGCTCGACCGCCCGCACTCCGCTCCATTCCCCCTCGCCCTGCGCTTGCCGCGTGCGCGCATGAACTCGGGCTGGGCCGGGTTCATCCCTGCGCAAGGAGGCAGTCGGTCATTGTTATTTGGACGTATTGGCGGTACACCGGTGCAGCATAGCGACACACCGGTTCCTCGTAACACAGTCCTGACGATGTGATTATTATCGGAGAGTGTTTGTTTGTCGTGTTCGCCACAAGCACGCGTGGTTAATGCAGTAGCTTTGATTCCTTGCAAAAGGAATAATCTATTTGGTGTGTGGACATCTTAACGCCTCCCTCCTGTTTGATTGCCAGAAAGGGAAAAATCGATTTTTATTTTTCACACTTTGATACTCGCAAAAAGGTCCCGTCATGTAGCTGCTCATCCCGAGCTATCAATGCTCTCGATGCTGCATTGTCTTTGTACCGGTCGCCTTTTGGTGTTGTTCTCTGGTCTGACACTGGTGAGACTAGACCATGAAGAAGGCTGTCTCTGGGGTAGACCAATCAGTTTCAAAGACAACGATTAAATATTATCAGAGAGTGTTTGTTTGTCGTGTTCGCCACAAGTACGCGTGGTTAATGCGGTAACTTGATTCCTTGCAAAAGCTACAATCTATCTGGTGTTTGAACATCTTAACCGCCTCCTGTTTCATTCCCCTAAAGCGTAAAACCTATTCTTATTTTTCACAGTCCCGACGGCGTCGCTGTCGTCCCTTGAGTGAGCTGCAGGACTCTCCGTCAGAAGTTGCACTCAGATTCAGCAGCCGCGTCCCCCATTCCGAACGTGCGGTGGCGACACCACGAGTCGTATCGAGGAACCGTCCCACCGAGTCTCTAGGGGCACGAGGAGTCAAATCTTGCCGCTGGAGCACGGAGCAGCCGCTGGAGCACAGAGCAGCAGATCGTCATCACACTGGGCACGACTGGAGCACGGAGCAGCAGATCGTCATCAGACTGGGCGCCGCTGTACGTCAACAGACTGCGAAGCTTCGTGTTCAATTCTGCTCGTGTCACGTTCCGTCTTCCTGCCACTACGGCATCACGACAAC